AGTCACAAACAACTGTACATTTCTTATTCAAGAACATTTTAGCATTAATTATTTCTTTTAGGTGAAAAATAATTATCTTTTCATTCCCGTTAGATTGTTGTGGAAAATGTTTTTAGGATTATATTATTCCTGATTAGATAAAGCAAATGAGACATAATTAAAGTTCCATGGGATTAAAAAAAAAAAAAAAAAAAAAAAAAAAAAAAAAAAAAAAAAAAAAAAAAAAAAAAAAAAAAGCAACAACAAAATAACAGAGAAATAATAAGAAAAAAGAATAAAGAATCCAAAATAAGGAGACTCGATTTGTATTATTTATGCATTGTACAGAACAAATTGTAAAAAACTTTGAGCATGCTGGATCTTCGCCATCTGAAAGACTACAAACCTGTACTTTGAATAATCCTTGGGATTTATCGGATGCTTAAAGTTAATTACATACTGAAATACTTTTCTAGACTGGGGCAAAAAAAATATACATGATTTTTAAGAGACGTTCATAAGATTTGGAAACTAAATGTGTAAGGCAAATGAACTAATTAAAACTTCAAATGAAAATGACATTTTTTAATTTCAAACTTATAATGAATTCATTTTACCCTAAGCATAAGTCCTGTAGGAAAGGTTGGGAGAGGATCTTATTTACCTTTAAGACACTCTTCACAGAAGCTATCATATAATGAAGTCTCAACTTTATGTTTTTGGTGTTTGTTCAACTGGAGACTGAACTTTACAGAGCCACCAGGCTTTTACTGCGGTGTTTTCTCAGCCTTTAGTAGAACATTCTCTAAGACTCAGGTAAAAGACGTCATTTGTCAGGAAAGCTCACTAGTATTCACTGAGAGAGGCAGAGAGAGTATACAGATGAAATATATCCACAAAAAATAGCAAAAGCCACCATCATCCCAATGTTCTTCTTATGTATATACTCCAATATTTTATAAGTTCACAGACAGAAACCTAAGTGACTTTCTCCTCCAGTTGTAGATTCTCGCCTTGGAACTCTTATCCATCATTTTAGGAAAAAAAAAAACAAAAAAAACCCAAAAAAAACCCGAAATCTATCATCTCAGAAAATGTAAGATAGAAATCAGATCAATATAACAGATGTCTCTGCATAATGCTTCAGTCATATAGGCACACACATAAGCACTCATGGAGGGTTTACCATGCGCCTGTGTACTACATGGCTGTAGGATCAAACAGATGTCTGAGTAATAACTGTGCATTTCTGGTCCTTGGGGCTGTTTGAGCACTGTATCACTTCTACTGAAGTTAAAGTGATTTCTGACACTTGGCATCATAGCAGTTGTGCTGCTTTCTTAGAAAGATACATATAAGCAAATAGAGATGGCATTGGGAGTATAGGAAAAGTACTAATTTGACTTCTTTTATTGGCTTCGAGAGTCCTCTGCAATGAGATGTCATTTAACCCGGTGTTATTTAAAGAGCTGATTTAACCTGGGACAGAAATTGGCTTACTGAGTAGCATGGAAATAGGAACTAATTATTCTTAAATTGCTATGAGTATCAATTCCCAAAAACTAGCATTTCTCTCAATCTCTCCTTCTGATAACTGTAAAATGTCTTTTATATATATATATATTGAGAGCAATATAAATGATTTATAGTAATGTGTGTAATAGATAAATAGCACTTGGTTTAGTGAAAATAAACACCCAAACCGATGAAATATTGAGAGCTACCTGAGGGGTTTCCAAAGAAGGATATCTTTCAGTTAAATTTTTCTAGTGACCTTCTACTGCAAAGCGCCATGCTACATAAATCAGAAAAAATCACTTGGATATAAAGAGGAATGGTCTGATATATCGTAACTAGAAAATTCATTTGTAAAAAGAGCCATCTGGAAAAAATTCCTTCTGCTTTTTTCCCTATAAATAATGCAGAAATCTTGCCAAAGAAAGACAAATGAAGACTTACACTCGCAGTCAGAGTTCTCAGTTCCAGGATCTTTGACAGACTCTTGATTCTATAATAATTAATTGATTTCAAATTGGAAATGAAGATCATTGTTTCACCACAATTTAAGGAATGAGACAAAATCAGAAAGCAAAAAAGGCTTTCCTGAGTTTTAAAGTAAATATTCTGATTTGTAATTTTTGAAACTGCTCACAGAAATGCATTCCCATGCTTACCAAAATTTATGTATATAATGCTGGGGGGAGGAGTCTACTAATTTGTTTCCCATCGTATTTACCTCATAAATTAAAAAAGATTTATTGACAACGGAATTAAGCCAAAAGGTAAGGCTTCAAATATTCTGTACTTTAGAAGAAGAACTCCAACAACTTAATTTTATTGCTGACTGTTGAAATCAAGAGAATTTGAACTCAATATCCAAAAGATAAATGGATTGGTTCCTTTCTAATCTGTTGCTCAGATAGGGAGTGTGGGAAAGGAAGTAATTTTTGTATAAGTGTTTTTGTTTCTTGGCTTCTTTACTAAAAGAGAGTCATTTTATTTTAGGGTTATCATTATCATGGCATAGGCCTACAAATTAGGTCCAATCATATGCATTTTGGCACAATTAATTACTGCTTCAGACTTAGAAAAATGAATACTCCAAATTATTTCATGTGATTACAAACCACAGAGAAGAGTTGAATCCTGTCTGTTGAATAAATAACAGGATCCATCAGTGTTGGGAGTTAAGTGAGAAGTTCAACAAAACAGTATACAATTTTTTGTTTGTATCAAATTAGTTAACTAGATAATTCTAGCTATCTTCTTTTCAAATTTTGTATGTACAGAGATAAGGCATTTTCTGTCTTGATGTTACTAGTCAGATCAGTTCTTTACAATCTAAAGAGGTTTAATTTTAGTGAGTAACACTGAAGCAAAAATTACCTGTTTCAAGCCAAAAATAACCTTCACAAAAACACAGCCACCTCATCTACAGATGGAGAAAGGCATAGGTTACAATACAAGGTATTATTGTTGAGCTGTAGCTGTTTCTCTATGTAGAAAAATATGAACCTGTGAAAGTAACTGCAGGATGTCTTGCTTTCATGCAAATGTCTCCAGCAATAATGGATTGTGCAGCAGATCATTGGTCAAGTTACAAAGATGTGCCACAAATCTCTCCCTCTTCTATCATGCTGACATTCAAAGTATCCAGCAGAGAAAACGGGAAAGTGACTTGTAAACAAATTACTTCTTCATTTATTATCTGGGAAAAGAAAATAAAGAGGAATGTAATAGAAGAGAGAAGGAAAGAAATATTTGGTGGTATTCTGGGACCAGCTGTCACTGACTTGCAAGGCTTTGCTGATGCTGAATGAGGTATTGAGCAACAGCTTAGTTCTTCTGAGCTTGTCCTACAGTTACTTTGCTCATGTTGTTTCTAGTTAAAATAATAATAATAATTCGGTGCTAAGAGGAGAAAAAGAAGTTGCTACGTACAACCTGAGCCCTATCTTTCCAAGGGGATGGTGAGATGCTTTGGAAGGGTTTGGAGATGGCAGTGGGTGGCTAGGAGAATAGTTGGGGCATTCAGCCCTCAGCAAACAAGGCGTAGCTGCTCGAACACACACAAATATCCTTTATAAACCCATGCAGATTGTCTTCATAAGGACAATGGGAAATCAGAAAATTCTCATTTAGCTTCCAACCCCCTTATTCAAATGCTGTTATTTCACAGATGTCATCTCTACCCTTAAATTGCTGATTCTTTCAGGCAGACATTTGAATTCATATTTCAGTCATGCCAGACAATGTGTGCTGCCCATAAGGTGGCTCTGAAACACACAGATGTGTTTTCCATCTGAATAGGGAAAACGTCTACCTCCAAAGTTAAGCAAATTTCTAGGAGAGGGGTGCAACCATAAATGCTCACATGATCCTGGGGATATGCCATGTTAATCAGGGCATTACTTTGTGTTATACAAAGAGATCCACTTAACTTCAGCAAAATATAGAGTTCAAATCCTAAATTGGGCAAAGTCCTTGCAAGGTAATATATTTCTCCTTCCTCAGCTTGCTTTGTGGTGATTTGACTGTTGTGAAAGCACACAGTTTTCCAAAGTGTATTCACAACATACAAACTAACACCCTATATGTAATATTTACCAACATGCAGGAATAACTACTGTCCTGATAATTAAGGAAGCTTACTAAGTCCAAACAATCATTTATCATACCATTAACTTTGTGCCTAATTTCATAAACAGGAAAGCAGCATTAAGAAGGAAATCACTACTGAATTAAAGCTCAAACTATTGTCCATTGTTCATTTGCTACAGTACATAGGATCCTGGTGACATACAACTAATGAATTTTCTTGATGATTAACTACCCATTCTACAAAACCATTGTAATGGAAACATATTAGCTCATGATACAAGTGAGGTGGTTGTGTCATTACTACAAGTGAGTTGGTTTTTCCTTTTTCTCTTCTCCTTTTTCTTTCATGAATTCAAAGCAAAGAAAGCTTGGGAAAATATCATTAAAATTCAACAAATTGCTGAAAAGAAAATACAGTTCTGCTAAGCAATTAAATGTGTTTAGATGAAGCTTTTTCACTTGCGGTTGAATTAGTAGAAAAGTAGAATGGATATAAGCTAGATCCTACTGAAGAATATTTACTGAAGGTGACTTATTGAAATATCCACCCCTTGAGAGAAGGCAAAACCTTCAGGGTGGAATGTGCTGAATAATTCATTCTATGATAGTTCCCAAAGCAGCGTGACCTGCGACCTTAGCTGTTAACGAACACCAGGGGAGCCTGGTATGCTGACTCTAAGGAAAAAACAACATGGAGTGCAGAGTAGGGTGGAGGTCCCATGGCCAAATTCCGTGATCATTCTGCAGGGACAGGGCTTTGATGATGCTATTGGAACTGTTAAGCTAACTTGTTTTCCTGAGCCAGCAGTTTTCCATCTTTCTATCAATAACTTGTTTTCAACTCAACTTTGCAAGACCATGGTCTGTATGACTGGAGTCATTCAAAATTCACTTGAAAGTATGAAAAAGGTATTAGATGGTTTAAGAGGGAGGAAACTTCGAGGGCAGAATAGCAGGGAAGGTACCATCACAGACAAGCCAGTATCTGTCGAAGAACTGAGCCCCTGCTCCCATAGGGACACCTGCTGGGTAAGATTCTCATACTAGGTTATGTTGAGTACTTCCCAGGGACCTTAGAAATCTCTATAGTGTTAGTCCTTGATTTAATGCTATTGTACTTGGCCATATTGTTCATGTTCTTAGTTAACCTCACATGCTTTGCTGCACAGAGAGGTTGTGGATGCCCCGTCCCTGGAGGTGTTCAAGGCCAGATTAGATGGGGCCCTGGGCAGCCTGGTCTAGCATTAGATGGGATGGTTGGTGGCCCTGCATGTGGCAGGGGGGTTGGAGATTCATGATCCTTGAGGTCCCTTCCAACCCTGGCAATTCTGTGATTCTGTGATTGTCAGTTTATCACCAGCAATCCCAAAGAATCTGTAATCTGTTGCTTTAATAAATTATGCTATTTAGTATTCTAGCTGTGAGCACTCTCATTGGGCGCAGCCAAAAGCCTTAGAAGTGGACATGAGAGCCCATTGAAATGCAGCTATATGAATTGGGCAGTGTGCTATTTGTGAATCTGTAATCGTGACAGTTCATATATTGAATGCAACTGGATTTATAGTGCTGAATTGAGCTTTGCTCAGGATCTCAGATCTGACACACCCAGCCCCTCCGGTATTTGAGGAGAAGATAGAATGTAATGGGCTTATTTTCTGTCAAACTTCTCTGCCCTTTTAATGTGACATCTACTTACTTTTTACACTTATTTTCATTATAATTTTAATTATACAGATCACAATCCAGAAATAAGACAAAAAAATAAAGGACGACGTATACTTTGCAGCCCCGTTTCTCTTAGAACCCATCTTTTAATTACCTGTAGATGTTTTCTATCTTCTTTTTTGCCTCTTTGCACTGCAATTCACATTCTGAGAGTGCTCTGCTGTTGCTTAAACTGTACTGACATCTTGTGGCGTGGAATTTGAAGGATCCTAAAACTAAACTTTCATAAATACAAATTTTCTTTTTTGCCTTTATGCAAATATCTTCTTCTTTATCTGTTACCTTTGGAGAGTTTACTTGCTTGCTTGCAACCAAAGGTGGTATGAATGGTGTGCATAAACACAGCATCATGTTTCAAAAAATGTATTTACCATTATAAATCACAAAATCACAGAATGGCCAGGGTTGGAAGGAACCTCAAGGATCATGAATCTCCAACCCCCTGCCACCAACCTCCACATTTAATACTCGACCAGGCTGCCCATGGCCCCATCTAACCTGGCCTTGAACAATTCCAGGGATGGGGCATCCACAACATCTCTGGGCAGCTGTTCCAACACCTCATCACTCTCTCTGTAAAGAACTTCCCCCTGACATCCAACCTAAATCTTCCCTCTCTCAACTTAAAACCATTTCCCCTTGTTCTGCCTTTATGCAGGCATAAATGTCAGAAGTTCTTTTCAACATTCAGGAGCATCTGCCAGTGCAGCAAAACTGCTTTAAGGCTGAGGTGAACTTGAAAAATATCTATTTAAAATGTTTGAGTTATCATGACAAAGTAAGATTTTCCACTATAAAAGCAGATGCTGCATTTGAAGCCTGTTGAATAAAAAGCCTGTGTGGGTGAACAGGCACACTCACATGCTCTCACACACATGTACCAAAAGAGAATGCTATTAATTTCCTAGCTGGTGTTTTATCACCTTGGCAACGGCAAAGCATTTAGAAAAACTTCAGGTCTTTTCATCATTGAAAATTGAGACAAAATGCTGGCAGTTATCATCAGCTGAATAAAGATCTCTAGTGGAAGTTCATATACAAAATAGATTATACAAGAGCAAAGAAGAGTCCTATGAGTATAGCAAATTCCAAATAATTTTTTTCATCTTTTCAAAATAAGAAGAGAGAGCTTGGGATGGTCCAAAGAGACCCAGAGAGACTCAAGCAGTAGGCCCATCTTGAAGTTCAACAAAGCCATATGCAGAGTTCTGAGGGAATTAGAGTTCTGAGGGAAGTGGCTGATGTAATCACCAAGCCACTCTAAGCAATCTTTGAAAAGTCGTGGTGGTCAGGTGAAGTTCCTGGAGACTGAAAAAAAGGCATAGCTCCCCTCACTTTTAAGAAGGGTAGGAAGAATGGTCTGGACCAGTACCAAGCTGTCAGCCTCATCTCTGCGCTAAGAAAGATCATGGAGCAGATCCTCTTGGAAGCTATGCTAAGGCACATCAAAGAGACAAAGAAAATACAAGACAATGGGTGAGGTTTCTCCTGCCTGACCTACAATGTCCTTCTATAGTGGCAAAATTGCATCACTGAACAAGTGAAGAGGTATTAATGCTATCTATCTGGTCTTTTGCAAGGTCATTGATACGATCCCCCACATCTTTCACTCCAAATTGGAAGGATAAGTATTTGACAGGTAGACTGTTTGATGAACAAGGAAATGGTTGCAAGATCATACTGAGAGCGGTGGTCAGTGGTTCAATATTGGGATGGAGATCATTGAAAAATGATGTGCACTAAGGGTCTGTACTGGGACTGATGTTCTTCAATATTTTCACCAAGTCCTCACCCTCAGCAAGTTACAGATGACACCAAGCTATGTGATGCAGTCAACATGCCTGAGGGATGGGGATGTCAGCCAGAGACACCTAGACAGGCTGAGCAGCAGGTCCAGGTGAACCTCACTAGGTTCAAAACTCCAAGTGCAAGGTCTTGCTCTTGGGTCACAGCAACTCCCACTATCAATACAAGCTGATAGAAGAAAGTATAGAACAGAACCCTGCCAAAATGGACTTAGGTACACTGGTGAATGACAAGTTGGACAGGAGTGAGCAATGCAATGTGTCCTCGAGGCCCACACAGCCAACCATATCCTGGACTACACGAGGAGCTGCGAGATATGGTTTAGTAGCTTGTGGTAGCAGTGGCAGTGTGAAGACGGTTGGACTAGATGATCTTATAGGTCGTTTCCAACTTTGTGATTCTATGATTCTATGAAAAAGTTTGATAAGGGCAGTGAAGCACTGGCACAGGTTGCCCAGAGATATGATGAATACCCAGCTCCTGGGGACACTCAAGATCAGGCTGGATGGGGTTCTGGGCACCCTGTGAAGCTGTAGACGTCTCTGTTCATTGCAGAGGAGTTGGACTAGAAGCAGAGGTTCACATCACACTGTTCGTGTTATCTATTGCTGTAGCACCTGAAAATTCATTGTTTTTTCTCTACATACATAATACATTAATTATCTATATGTTTGTATATTTATCTGCACAGGATCCTTTAAAGAGAGAGAAGCATTAGCATATTTCTCTTACAGATGGAGAATTGACACAGGAGGAAACTAAGTTGGTGCTTTGGGGGCACCTATGAACAATACCTCAGTGCCTATTGAGGTATCATTAAAAAGATGAGCCAAGTTTCATCAGTGCAGGGTACGCACTTCCATGTCAGATGTCATTCTGTCAGACTGGTCCTCTGCTGCCATCTGTTGCACAGCAACAAAATGTAACAGAATACTGGTGGGAAAATTCAACCTCTACTGACATCCCACCAATATCCACCTTGCCCAAATCATGGGCAAACATAATAAAATAGGAGGCATTATTTTCAGAGTAGCCCTCATATATCTTGGTCTCTGGGTGTTTTCAAAATCCCACTAAACAACGACTTGAGCAACCCGGTTTAAATTCAGTGCTCATCCTGCTTTGAGGAGAACACAGAAATAGATTTCTCAATTTTTATTCAAACCTGAATGACTGTGTAGTTCTGTCAATCTATATATATTACTGACATTTCACTTAGTGCTTAAAAAAAGCTACTATACAATAACAATCAGTATCCGTATTTATAACTGCTTGTTGGCATTGTCAAATGAAAATGTGTTAAATTCTTCTAAAAACCAACTATATAGAAAGGACTCACTGATACTAGATAAGGTTCACCAAAGTAACTAGAACTTTCAACATTATTATTTTTTTTTTTTAAAGAATTTTTTTTTTCCAAAAAGGCTGTCTTTCTCCAAAATATAGTAGTATCTTCCTATAGTGCTTTAAATTAAAAATAAGTTTAGAAATTATAAGGAGCTAGAGGCAACTGTCCATTTGAATTCATTTTAATTAACAACATGATCACATTCTAATAACTGGTCTTAAGAAATCATAAAAAAAAGGATAAAATTGATTCTGAAGCTTCCCTCTCCGTCCTTGCAGAAATACAAAAATATCCAAGCTATAAGAAAAAACTGGTAAATTACCTGCTAAGTGATTAATGCAGAAAAATATTTCAGAGGACTGTGATTTATTTATAGTTAAAAGTTTCTGAGTGAAGAGATCCCCTTTGCAAGAAATAAGCTGCCAAAAGCCCAGAAAGTAGGTTGATTTGGCAGTGCAAAGCAATCCTAGACGAATTACTTAAACTCATCTTGGGCTTTGGAAGCTTGCGCCTTTAGATGTGTTTGAAGTAGATTCTTGGGAGAAAAATCTGTGTTGAGGGGAAACCTTATTTATTTTAGACTTTTATGGAGGTCTGAAATTAGTGGAATATTTTTTTATCATTCTTTACTTTATACTGAGTACAGTTTTTACATATTTCTGACTTTCACCACAAATCCTTTACAATTATGCGTACTTCATATATATATTTCTTGTTATAGTGGTAAATTCTTAGAGGTACTGCTGACCTGCTGAGAGTGATTTGACCTTTGTAATAATTTAGCTTAATGCTACATTTACATCACCGCTACTCATAAGAACATATCCCTTATGCACTACTTACAGCATCTTTAATTTAGTATTCCTCCAAACCCACCATAATATATAACATTATGTTTTCTAAGTAGTGACTGGAGTTAGGTTATAAAATATATAGTATGGGTATTAAATTTCTGGTATGATAAGATATAAGCCATGCACATTATTTTAGTAACGTTAGCGGTATGAATATTTATATTTTCTACTACTAAAGAATTTTAAGTGCTATTATGATTTCCGATCAATTTTCTATAATGTTTGAAAGGTCATGGAGTACAGGAGAGGTGCCTGAAGACTGGAGGAAAACCAGTTTTACAACCAGACTTCAAAAAAAGGCAAGAAGGAGGAGCTGAGAAACTACAAATCAGTCAACCTCACCTCAATCCCTGGGAATGTGATGGAACAACAAGCAAGCAGAAGAAAAGAAGGTTATCAGGAGCAGTCAACATGGATTCACCGAGGAAAAGTCATGTTTGACCAAGCTGGTTGCTGTCTATGATGTCACAATTACCTGGGTAGATGAGAAGAGGGCAGTGAATGTTGTGTACTGTGACTTCAGCAACACTTTAGACATGGTCTCCCATAACATACTCATAGGTAAGCTTAGGAGGTGTAGGATAGATGAGTAGACAGTGAGGTGGATTGAAAACTGGATGACTGGTAGAACTCAGAGGGCTATAATTAGTGGCACAGAGTCTGGTAGAAGACCTGTGACTAGAAGTGTTTTCCAGAGGTCAGTACTGAGTATAGTCTTGTTCAACATCTGCATCAGTGATCCGGATGAAGTGATAGAGTGCACTCACAGCAAGTCTGATGATGATACAAAGCTGGGAGAAGTGGCTGACACACCATAAGATTGTATTATCATTCAGTGATACCTGGACAGCCTGGAGAGTTGGACAGAGAGGAACCTTTGGCAGATTAGAATAGGCCACACCTGGGGAGGAGGAATAACTTTGTGCTTCAGTACAGGTCTGGAGATGAGACAGAGGAGCTCTGTAGAGAAGGACTGGGGTGTTCTGATGGATGGCAAGACAACCACGAACCAGCAATGTACCCTTTGGTCTAAAATTCCAAAGGTATCCTGGGGTGCATTAAAAAAAGCATGGCCAGCAGGTCTAGGGAAGTTATATTCACCCTCTACAGGTTGCCCAGAGAGGGATGAGAATCTCTTTTTCTGGAGATATTCAAAACCCACTAGGATGTTTTTCTAGGCAAACTACTGTAAGGAAACTGCTTTAGCAGGGGGTTGGGTTTGATGATCTCCAGATGTCCAGATGATCTCCAGAGGTCCTACAATTCTGTGTTTCTATGTTTCTTATAAAAGAAAACAAAGTCAGTGTAAGATCATAACAAACTGCAGAAATATTCATTGTGCTCCTATATTACTCCAATTAATATAATATTTCAGATTTACAGTTAAAGTACAAGGATGATCTGATATGTTTCTGGAAAAAAAGTTGTGTTGGGATCACAAACAGTAGCCATCATTAGAAAAGTATTATCTTGCACTTTTCTCAAGCCTTGATTTTGCTCTCATTTCACTCAGTCGAAAACTAATTCATTCTGTACTGAAGGTCACAGGCATTGATAATTGTGTTGTATTTTGCACTGCCTCAAAGACAAAGAGTAGAGCCTCCAGAGACCTGATGTCCTCAGGAAACAGTTCAAACAAATTCTATAATGTGTCACTGGAGAAATCCTTCGGAACAAATATTAAAAAAAAATAGAAATAAATGTTTTCTTTCTCTGTCACATATCAGCAGAATATACTAATTCCAGTTGATCCCTTTTAGTAAATCTGAATAAAACATAGAAGTTTATGAATGAGAAAAATATTTTCTACTGAAATAATATTCTGGAAAACAAAGGAATTAAAATGCCAACAAAAGGATTTCAGTAATATATACATGTATTAAGTAATATGTTCATATACATATATATATTACTTAAATCTCATATATTAAATATAAAAAATATATTATATATATATATATATACAGGAAAATGTAGATGCTTACTTTAATAATTCTAAATATCTGCCTCCTCAGAGTGGACATATCACTGCCATCAGAATCAAAACCAATTTCTTAAAAGTTGAGAAGATGTTGATGAACTTAGTTAGAACAGAATGTTTCTTTATGCATCTATGTATGTATGTTTATGCATGTATGCACGTATTTTTGTTGTCTGATGTGAGGTGTTAATGACAGAAGGGCAGTTTCATCTGCATTTTTTTTCCCAATACAGAATGTTACCCAGTGACGGCCATGCTTTCCAAATAAGTATTCTGTGATAAAAATCCTTTTTAAGCAGCACTTTAATCACTTTTACAGTGATTAAATTACATCAGACATTTATTTTTTAGCTACATCAACATCTAGTTTGTAATTATAAAACTCAGTGGATAAGAAGGCAATGTAATATCAGAGAAACTTTTGGTTTTCATGACTTTTTTTTTTTTTCTTTCCATTGGAATTATTACATTTGTTTTTCAAAATATTACAGCATACAAGACTCAGCCATGCAGTTTCACACAGGTGATGGCAGTAGGCATCAACCAAGCAAGAATCCAATTTGTAAAAGCTTTCACTTTATCACGTCATCCTTGAAGGATGCTCTATATGGTAACTGTATGAGCTATCCATAATAAATGATCCACAGGGAAAAGTGATTAATCATATCTGGAGTTGTTAGTTTAGCAAGGTAAAACACATTCCAGTGCCTTACTGATATATATTTAGAGGCACAGATTCAATGACCGAAGTGGATGGGTAAAAAATCCCTAGTTATGTAATTTATTTTAAGAAAGTTCTTTGTTAAAGAAAAGCCATGAAGGCAACTTCCTATAGCACAATCAAATGAGCACAGGAAAAGAGTGATCTCTTCTGGCACACACATGGACTGGTCAGATGGCTGATATTTGCAACAAACATAGGATCACACTAAACAGATGGCAAAAAAAAAAAAAAAAAAAAAACCTTCTTTTTTTGCTCTATTTCCCAAAAGAGAAAACAATTGACACACGATATGCCATGACATATTGTCCCAGTCTGTTCTGCATCTAGCTGTAACATTTCATAACACTTCTTTCTTCAAATGAAGAAAGCAGACTTGATCTCTAACATCCTTCCCTCACCACTAAAGTTTCGTTGGTATTTATTTTCTTATTAAAGTAATTTAGTAACTTCGGCCAAATTTCTTTTGCTGTTATATCAGGTACTGACAGATAATATACAGGCATGAGCATCCTGAGTTTTTCCCCAGCAAACTTTTACTGTGACTCACCACAACTCATTTCATGTAAAGGAAGTATAACAGGAAACAGAAATCTAGGCACCTGTTAACTTCTGAGTAATTAGTGAAACATATAATGTCTGCACTAAATTTTCTTCATCATACAGTAACTGGAATTCATCAGAGTAAGACCCAAGCATTTTAATAGTCAAAGCAACTTGTACAGTTATCTTGTGAATTTCCCTTTCCAAGATTATGGACTATGATTTAAGATTCTGGATCACAGTAAATAATATTCTGAATATTAACCAGCTATAATACAGATTCTTAAAAGTATCCCACCAGAACTTTTCAAAATACAATTGGTCCTTTTTCTTTTTTTTTCAAAAAATATCATAAATCCTCATCTCTTCCTTCCCAACGATCTAGCATTTCTGCACAATGAGATACTGTATTTTATAACAGCCTATTGAACACCCCAGTCAGCATTCTCCCCTCATTAGAGTTTAATGTGTTTATTATTTACAGCTTATACTTGTCTTACTGCATCATAATATTATTCTTTCATCATGTAACAGCAATATGAATACATCAAAGTCCTATGTTACTGAACAGTCTGCAATTATCAGTCCCTGAAGTGTTACATTTTTCCTCTTAAAAAAGTGGTGCATTATATTTTTCTTCCACTAAGATCCTTTAAACCATCAGTTTGACTGAATAACACTACAAATGACCACTTAGTCACTGAGTATTTTTCTCTGTTTTAATTCCAGCTATCAATCTTTTATCTGAAAGTAAACAGCTTTTCTGTTTTCATTATAACTTTTTTTTTTTTTTTTTTTTTTTAAGTGTTATAAAATGCACAGGATGAGAAGTGAAAGGGATTTTTGTTTATTTTTCACTGAAATATTTCTGAAATGTCAATTAGGTTATTTGTTAAATTTCTAACTTCACTGTGTCTGTGAAAGGACAGGTTTTAGACTGAGACACTAGTTAGAGAATTTCAAGACACTACCTACATGATCTTACCTGTACTATTTATTATTCTCTTTCTAGGGTGCTTTGCTTTGTTGCTTATATTGTATTATGTTTTCCCAATGAGGAATGGAGATAAAAACAATTTTTTTTCCCCAATTTGCTTGATTTTTGAATTTAGATTTTTTTGAAAAGGACTTAGGCTCAGGAGATTTGAACTCTATTAATCTCAGACAAGTAATTTCATTTTTGTTTTCCCACTGATCCTCCTTCTCTCTCTCATTACTTAATGAGATATTGGGACCCCAAATTCAGATAAGACCTCTTTAACACAATATAACATTCTCCTAAATTATTACTTCATACACAACAACATGCTGAGTGGGGGAAAAAAAAATGAGGAAAGGTAAACCAACTATATCAACTATTAATTCTTACAGAAGTTCAAATCTTATCTTGGAGATTCAGATGTAATGATCAATTGTAGAACACATCAGATACATACAGCATAATTCTTTACCTCAGAGCACAATGTATGTTCTGAATACAGAACCACAGCTTCATTTTAAATGTTCCTTGTATTTTCTTCTTAAAATAATGTTAAATTCCCACAGAATCACAGAATCACCAAGGTTGGAAAAGACCTTCAAGATCATCCAGCCCAACAATCCACCTATCACCTATCTTTTTTTTTCAAAATGTATCATAAAACTCCTCATCTCTTCCTTCCCAACGATCTAGCATTTCCCTCAACACAAAATCCAAATGTTCCTAAATGTTCTCATTTCAAACTAAATATTTACACAGGGTTTAACTGCCTTTTGATATAATTTTATTGGACTAGATTCTTGTTTATAAATCCAGAAATATCATTTACATTTGCATTTTATATTTTTTACAAAATATAAATAAGGCACTCATAAAACACGCTGGGCACTAAACTTGTTTGGAATGGAATTCCAAATGGAATGGGATGGATTCTGCAAAAGATCTTAGTTATCCAGGTTGGGACCAAGCCAGATACATTCTGTGATTTCACAGTATACAGAGAGACAAGTCCCGTCTCTAAAAATCCTATCAAACAGGATCTTACAGGTTACCTAGTAAAGCAAAAAGTATTGATTATTTGATACCATCTCCAAGGCAGAGAAAGTCCTGTTCAAGAACATTTAACTCAAATGGCAAACTAACAATATCCATCTTGAGTTCCTCGTAATAATTCTAGTCAAGAAAGCCAAGAATGAGACAGTCAGCTGTCACAAAAACAGATGTGAAGTA